AATCACCTGGGGTGCTTATTAAATATTTAAATTCCCAAGCCTATTGTGTCTCAACTGTAACTGAAGAAATGGAAGTAGGAGACAGAACTTTCTTCAGAACAACTTTCTCAGATGGTTTTCATGCATTCAAAAATTGTCACGTTGACTTCAATTGCCAGCTTTTCTCCTTCCTTCCTTCCATCCTTCCATCCTTCCTTCCTTCCTTTGGTTCTTCCTTTCCAGTGCTGAGGGCTGAGCTCAAAGCCTCATGCATGCATGTTCTGCCAACTGAGCTATATCCCCAGACCTTCTTCTTTTATAATTTAAAAAGCTCCTGAGGTATTTATCAAATGTGGAGCAAAGGATAATAACAGTGCATACCCATTTAGCACAACTTCAGGAGGCTGCTGAACACATTTAAACAAATGCAGGTTCTTCATTTGTGTTTCATAATCACTGAATTAAAAAGCATTGAGTCCCTGCCAAGGCATGTTTAAGGCTTCTTCAGTCCTGTTCTTTGGTATGAATGGTACTAGGATGTCATAACTTCCTATCTGGCAGCCATGCACTATGTGCAAAACACTGGTTACAAAAGGATAAGACTCTTCTTAAAGGGAAAGTTGCATTCTCCCTTCAGCGTCAGAAAACACCCCCAGATAACTTTTCTCACAAGCAGAAAGGCTATGAACCATGAGTGTTCCACGAGCAGAGCATGTGGCAGTAAATATTCTCAAGTAAAAGCAAGATGTCTAAGTGATACATTTTAGAGCTTAACTCAACGTTGAGAGTCATAAGTAATTATCATAACAAAGGGCAAGTCCAGACTGTCTAAGTCAATCTCAGATGTGACTGTGGTGAGATTTTGTTTGTGCACTAACAAATAAAGCTTGCCTGGAGATTAGAGGGCGGAGCTAGCCACTAGTTAACCATAGAGGCCAGGCAGTGGTGGCACACACATTTAATCCCAGCACTTGGGAAGAGGAAGCAGGAAGATCAGGCGTTCAAGGCCACCCAGAGCTACATGAGATTGATCCAGTTTAAAAGAGAAACAGAGCCAGTACTTAGGAGACACACACCTTTGATCCCAGCACTAGCGAGGTGGAGAGAGGACATGATAAAGTGGGGCAGAGACAGGAGCTCAACCCCTTTTTGGTTTGAGGATTCCTAGAGGTAAGAAGTCTCTCTAGTGGCTGGCTCCTTTAATTCTCTGATTTTTCAGCATTTACCCTTATATCTGACTCCAGGTTTTTCTTATTAAGACCAATTAGAATTTGAGCTACATCTAACTTTATAGGGATATAAAGTGCCAGATGCACACATTGTGGACACATTGGTGAGTTATCAGAAAAAGGTGTTTTGATTAAATAATGAGTCTTGCTTACTTGATAGGAAACCATGACCCTGACTGTTAGGAAAAATTCGAGGCGACAATATGGAGGCAGGCAGTCCTTAAGAAAACCACAGTGAATGGGCTGGTGGCCTTGCTGTCCCTTTGGAATCTATATGTCCATGTACTTTTCACTACATGATACTGCCCTCCTCTGTCTGCCCGTCCAGCTGATTGCTCAATGAGAGGGAAGCCAACTCAAGTTTAATCCGTTGGATTTCTCTGAAGAAAATGTAATATAAGAACAACAGACCACAGAAAGGAAACTGGTGGCCTTCGTTGGGTTTCTGGTAGAGTTAGACATTTAACCACTGCCTGCTGTTGACTGCTCTGACTCTCTTACTTTCTTAAGTTTTTCATTAAACCTTTTCTCAGATTTTTGAAATTGAATGGTTTTAGCCTTATGCAATGACAAGATCTCCTTAAAAGATTTCTTTATGTAGTTTATGGGAACTGAACATACAACTGGTGTAGCAGTCAGCTGAGTAGCGAGGCCTGGGGGAAGGTGGGGGTTTCACAGTCCCAGCTGCGGCTTTGAGAGTGAGTGGACTGTAGATGAGCAGCAGCACATGTCTGGGACAAAGTAGGTGTTGATTATTTTCACACCCCAACTTTCTTATCAGACTCCTAGAGCTCAGAATCCGTCCAGAGGATTCACCTTTAAGATTCTGTTCCTCTGCACTGAATGGCGAAGCGCAATTCAGTGTAAGCTCCCTGTTGACATCTACTATATTATTCTAATATCTAGTGGGTGAAACTATTGATGAGCTCATAATTTCTGTTGGTCAAGAACCTTCAAATTACTTCTTTGTGAGGGTCTAGCTTCATGTTTGCCACAGTGACTGTCGCTATATAGGCTGGAACTGCAGTTATCCAAAGGGCCAGTGGGAGAAGGAGCTATGTCCCAGCTAACTCCTGTGGCTATTGAGAGGCCTCCGTTCTTGCTTCATGAGCCATTATTTCATAGCGTTGGCTTGTGACTATGGTCAGAGACTTTCCTCAGAGAAAGTGATGCATGGCCACAGTTTTTAAACTCAATCTTGATATGTTTTATTCATTAGAAATCAATATGTGTAACCAACAGTTAAGGGCAGGCTGACACCCGGCATTAATAGCGGGAAGGAGGAATCATGAGGCTTCTTACGCTGCCCACCACAGTGTTGTTAGATTCCCTGTCTTTTTGTTGCATGTGAAACTTAAATTATTTTGTTATTTGAAACTATGCAAATCCTCTTGCTATGAAAGAGCTGCAATAGTCTAAGAAAGACTTTGGGTTTCATGGTGCTGAGGACAAGAGACAGGAGGCCATCACACTTACTATGAAGTTAGACGTGATCAGCCTAGGCATGCAGGAGAGTTGTACTGAGTTAGAAAAATGATTTTCTATTTGGCCATGTGTTTACTCAGTCTGCAATGTGGGGCAAGTTCTGAAGCATAATTTCCACACCTGCTAAAGGGTCACTATCTGGCGGGGTGGACGGCACGTATGGTGGAGTGACCAGGCAGGGTTAGTAAAGGGAACTCTTTCAGAGGAAAAGGCAGCGTGAAGGGGATCTGTAGGGGGATATGTGGCCGAGAACACTCACCATGTCTAGGCATAAAGGGGATCAATAGAGTATCTGTTACTGGTTAGAAGGTTTAATAGGACACAGCCAGCTTGCTGTGACAGGGCAGAGCTAGAGTGATACCCATGCTTGGTTTTTCCACTCAGCACTCTACTCGAGGTGAAATACATGTAAGCTGAGCTTACTAATGAGCTAAAAGGCTACAAGGGGGCTGAAGATACAACCCAGATTGGTCAGCCTTCCCAAACTCGGAGTGGCCTTGGGCCAGGGTGACTGGGCAGAGTGCCTTTGAGGGCGACTGGACGTTTTTCAGCAGAGCAATCGTGTAAAGCACCAAAATACCAGTCATATAAGGGACTAGGTGCCCCATTAATGTTGACTATTACAATAATTACCATTGCCTGCTAATAGGTCTACAAATGTTGATTAACTACATTAGAATGTTTGTGTTGGGCAGACCACAAAGAAATGTTTCCTCTCTACCTATGTGGTTTGAATGTGAGTATCTCTGCGTTAGGAAAAGCAGAGTGGAGCTTATTGAATTGCCTCAGATCATTTACCTCAGTCAAGCTAAGAGAAAGATCTCATTCAATACAATATGCTGCCCACTGACCCATGAGCAGGAGATCCCCTCTTCACATTTTCCTCTGTTCAGCACTGTAGCAAGCTTCCTGTATCTTGTGTTCTAGCAGCTCTGCAGATCAGATACCAGCTCCCCGCTGAGAGCCAGCCTTGCTAGGCATGGCATGTGGCTGCAGCAAAGCTCTGCCATCCAACTTTCCTCCCACCCAGCTGCCCGCCTTTATCGGCTCCAACAGCCATGAAAGGTACCACTCCCACGCAATTCAGCATACAGCGTTCCGGGGGTTCCTAAGCATCAGGCTGGAAACCAGCAACAGACGGAGAAGCTGTATAACACAGAGAGGCTGCAAGGAGAGGTGGACAGTGGGGGCAGGAAGCCAAATGGGCAGTCTGGAAGATGGGGATCCAGAAAGCAGGGTGCAGCTATGGAGAGATTCCTAGGAAGCTGTGGTTTTCACACCCTCCCTTTCCATCCCTTCCCTTCTTTTCTGTGACCAGTATCCAAATGGAGCAAGCCTCGGCTGCTCATTTTTCTGACATGATAGTGTGTCTTCTCTGCCCCACAGGTATGAGCTTCTCTCCAAGGCTGAACTTCAAAGACTCTATTATCCTTTGAGGAAGAAGCCGATGTGGCGCAGATGGTATTTTAAACGTATTTGTTTCTGTGTCAACTGCTCTGCTCTGAACATAAACATCAATTCAGTGACTTCACTGTTGTAAGTGATAAGTTGCAACAGCCTCACTTGTTTCTGAGTTAAATGACAGCAACAAAATGAAAAATCACCATTAAAAGGCTATATTTGCATATTTTATGCTGTCAAAGAACATGGCACTAATGTAGCATAAGGAGAATTCTCAAACAGAAACATTACAGTTCTCAAAATCTAAGGAAGATTTTTAAAGTGCTGAAATTTCATTTATAAAAAAGAAACAGGGAACGTTTATTTCACTGGCAAAATAATAAAAGCACTTTCCGGTGACATTTTTAATAGCATATTAATTTGAAATTGTAATTTTGAGAAGTAATTTCATTTACATAAACACCAAATGCATTCTAAATGCTTGGTATTATCATAATGACTGGAAATTAAATTAATAATGATAGGGAAGTTAAAATCTGACATAACCTTCTTGAATTTTTGTATTTACTCCCATGGAACTTGCAGGCTGAACTTCATGTGTTGTTTCAGTTCTGCAGAGCTGAACAATTCATTCTTCAGTTTCGGGAGTTGGAATTGACTTTCAAGAGGTATTCATAGCAATGTGAACCAGCCAAGCACCTGAACAGCTGCAAGGCCTGACTGGTCAAAGGTACACATGCAGGGATGCACACAGGCACGCACACGGACATCCCCCCGACAGATGAACACACACACACACACACACACACACACACACACACACACACACACACACACACGTGTGCACAAACCATAATATTAATTGCTTTGTTTCTACATTGCTGTGCTTTGCAGAGATGGGTGAACTAATGGCTATTATATTAAACCGAGAGGATGGGGTGTCTTTTCAATCAAAGTATTAGCTAAGCTATTGTATAAAATCAAGACATCCACAAGGCAGGGAGAAAAGACTTCTTTGCTCATCCTGAAGAAGTATACAAGGTACTATAATGGTTTTTTTTTTGATGGGATTCCTTAGGATGGGCTCTTGGTTTATTTTCTCCTCTTTCCAGTCCACATGATGATGGTCAGCGGATCTCATCCCGCTGATTGCAGGACCTTTAATGAGACACAGGACAATAGGCAATCTTGCTTTCGGAAGGTTGGCACAATCTGGGGATTCAAAGATTGAGAGGAAAACCTGAAATTTGTCTGTTAGATGAATGACTTCCAGGATGGACAGTTCTCTCAGGAAGTGTAAACACAATCCAGAACACTCAGTAGCGTGCTTTGCTCCATCACGACTGCTGCTTGGCCAGCCTTTGTCACTGTGGTAGAAGTCCTTGATCTCTTTGTTTCCTGGACTAGATTATGATAAGGAAGTCACGAGGACATGCCACCAATTCTGAAACACAGGGCAAAAGCAGGCAAATCATGCTCCACCTAGGATTCTCTTCCTGCTAGAATGCTCTGCCGGCACACTCTCAGCATGCTTTGGCCGTAACATCTCAGGGTATCCCAGTGCTCGGACAAGACTTCTCAAATGTCAACCCCGGCAGACTCCTACTCATTTTCTTAGATTTCCTTCCACCCATGTTTCAAAACATTAAATAAAATGAAATAAGATTAATTTCCTCAATTTATAAAAAAAAATATTTATCCTGAGATTTTAATTTAGCCTAAAGAGCACAATAACAGAATGAACCAGTCAGCAGTAGACTAAACTGCCTGGCTTCAGAGATCTTACAGTTCATCTGTGCAGCAAGTCTTTACTCTGAAATTAGAAGTACATGGCTAGCATCCTGTGTGGGTCCCAAGCACTCAATGTAGAAGATCTTACAGTTGGAAAACCACTTTATAGCTAGCCAAAGCTGTCGTTGTACTGAATTTGTTGTTCCTAATATAGCTCTGTTCTCACAGCCTCCTTCCGGAGTAGTTCATTGGGCCCAAGACAGATTTGAATGGGCTCAATGGAGACAACACACATAGCACAATTAAACACCACTGGAATGTCTAATTTGCTATTCTTAAACCAAGGAGGAGAATAGTAATGCAATTCTAATAAATATACAACATATAATAGTAATATCTGCAGTTAAAATCAGTTTAATAACCTCTAGCATCATGTATAACTGCCCCCCATACAGTTTGATTTAATAGATTTAAGGTCTTCTACTGACTAATCATTTCTATTAATCATTATCCAAACAGACTTTTTACCTGAAATTTTAAAGCCATGTAGTATAGTATGAGAAAAATGTCTTTGCAAATAGCTTTTCCTAATCTCCCCTCTCAGCCCCTCCACCTGGCATAAAAAGCTTGGAAAGTGAAATCCAAACCTGTCTCCTCTTCCAGAGTGACCTCTCTGCTTGCCATTTCGGAGGGGAATTTGCTCAGAATACAGTAATTTCATTTACAGGTGACCTCATGGAAACGTTCATTTTAGAGTTTACCTTGGGAGCTCTGAAAGTACTTCCCTAGGTAGCTGAGGTTTTTCTTTTGTGTCCATTCAAATGAATGGGTAAGGACAGAATTGGGACCAGGGACTTAACCACGTCCCTCTCTTCATGTATGCTTGGGTTTTATCCTGTGCCCCCGTTCACCTTTTGGCAGTCCTGATCTCTGATACACAGAGCCACTTAAAAAGCGGCCCTTTCTTTTTACAAAAGGAAAACTCAGAGATAAGTAACAATGACAAGAACTAAAACAGAGCATAGTTTTTCCCATCATAGCTTTTTAAAAGGTTTGCATCTGATGCGCAGAGATTCCGATAACGCCTCGGCCTCGCGGCTTCCTGCTCCCTCTCTGCGCTGCCCGCCCCCCCTTTCTTTCTTTGGCAATTGGTGTCACAAAGCCCTGTCTCTTCATGCTGCCTAAAATGGGTGCTGGAAGGATAGAACGAGAGACAACGAAAGACCGTGGCTTTGCAAATGTGTCTTGGAGTTCAAGCGCCTTTCAGAAACAGCAGATCATTTTTTAATCTGACATCTCCTAATTAAATTGATTGGGAGATAAAATGCATCCAACAAGTGTCAGAATTATGGAAGTTAAAAAAGCCTGGTGAGTTGCAAAAGCCATTTGAGCTCCTAAAGCTTCGGGAAACAGAATGTCCTTGAAAGCTCTCGTAGCAGGGAGTTACGGACCTCAGCGGGGGCCTGCTGTCATGCTGTAATCACTATAATTTATAGCACGCCAGCTCCATACCCTTTGCCCCACCAGGGGACCACCTGGAAGTTAGTCAGCTTGATGCAAGATCAGAATAAAGAAAGGGGAAAGGAAAAAGAATGCTAAACTCCCTTCAAATAGTCTCTACTATCAATGCACACTTCAGGACATCTTTTTTGGGGAGTATAACTTTGAAATTGAACACATCTTCAGTTTCTGCATATATGTGCTATTGGAGGGGGGTTGTGGCATGTATAGAGCAATTTCTCCAGGATCTTGGGCAGAGGTCCAAGAACGACTTCAATTCATTCATTCATTCATTCATTCATTCATCAAATATTAATTTGGGATCTACCAACTGGGTCACAATGAGACAGATTTCTAGATCTAGGCTGAACACTCCTTGGAGTGAAGTTGGAAAGAAACAGGAACAAAAGGTAAACCTGGATGTGAACAAGATAATGTCTGGTGTGCTATCACTTCTGATGTCTGAACCATCTTGTTCAGCTCCGGCTCTTTGTACCTGCACTTTAGTTAGAAAGAGACAAGGGATCGCTGAAATTATTCAGATTTGCTGTCTGTGAGACAGGTTATCCCTCGGTGATTTCCACAGCAAAACCTTGAAACAATCCAAACAGTAACTGCAGCACCACTCAGACAAAAAGCCTCACCTACCTCACAGGTAGCCTTGAAAGACACACGCGCTTTCACGGCTGAGGAGAACAAAATAGATTTGGAGCTCATCTGGATTCAGATCTTGACTTTGTCTTCTACTAGATCTGCCACCTGGCAAGCTGTTTGCAAATTTCCAGTTGCATTATTGTAAGTCTGATTTTGTTATTGCATGTAAGAAATAAGTAAAAGTATATTCATAAAAGGCCCCAAATAATCCCTCTCCCTTTGAAAGATGAGCAGGAAATAAATGCCTGCAGTTCTCTATCTATCTCTATTCACAAATTATAACTTTTTGGGTATAGTACATTATTATACTCCATTAGCCACAGTAACAATTCCTTAAAATTCTCCAAGATGACTAGCAAGACCAAGTCAGTACTCTGTCAACTTGTCACATCCTAAAATCACCTAGATAGACTGTTAATGGGGAATTATTTAGATCGAGTTGGACTGTTTGCATGTCTGAGGGGGTGTTTGGATTGTTAACTGGAGTGAGGAGATCCAGGGCTGAATGCAGGCAGCATCACTTCACGAGTTCAGCCCTGAACTGTGTAAGAATGAAGAAAGCTAGCTGAGACCACACTGCCTAGCAACCAAGCAAGGATGGACTTGCTCCTGACTGTGGATGTGACACGGCCAGCTGTGTGAACTGCCTTGACACACTGGAAATGATGGACTGCAACCTGGAATTGTGAGCTAAATAAATCCTTCCTATCCCAAGTTGCTCTTTGTCAGGATATTTTGTCACAGTCACAGAAATGAAACCAGACAGGGCAGTTCATTGCACTACTCCCAAGCTCAGTGAGGGGACCCGAGTGACTCAGGGGACGGTTTTGCTTGGTCTGTTTAGCTTCAAGTGCAGCAGAGTTCCTTTGGGTCGGACCACTCTTGAGGTTTGCACTTTTGAGGCATTTGGTATTGTGAAGGGACAACTCAACAAAGGATCAAAGAATGGAAAATTTGAGGTCAAGGCCAGCATTTTAAAGACAGGGTGTCATAGCACTGGGCAGAAGAGGAAGCAGCTAAGGAGAGAGCAAGTCGAGAGAACAGAGACGCCTTGATTTGAAGGAAGCAAAAATGGGCAACACCGGAATCAAACACTGGATCTCTGTCATGTCGCTGGAACTCTGGCAGAGACATTTGCCATGCTGAAAAGAAGGAAGTAAAACACAGACGGCTGAAGGATTTTTCTCCTAAACTCCCAGGGGCGCCATGCTATCTCTAGACCTTCTAAAGAAATCTTGGGAAATCTTCCTTACAGAGGACGGTGGGGACTCAGATCTGAACACATCTCTTCACATGATGTTCTGTTGCAGAATACGTGGCAAGAATTATGAAGGAAAAGGATTTTGTTTCCGACATGCAAATCTTAGTTAATGGTCCTTCCACAGCAGCGCCTGGCAGGGTGTAGGAACAGGGTCTAGGAGCAGAACTTCAAAAGGGAAGCACCTTGCTTAGGAATGGGATCTGTTTTCAATGCCCCAACAATAAGATCCCTTTTTCTGATTTTGACCTGAAGTTGTTTTTCCAAGTGCCATCTGATCAGAGTAGATCTCTCTCTTCCACACTCTCCCTAGGAGCTCACTGGTATCTTGTCTTTCTCTTTCCCCTTCAAAGGCTTTTCTTTTGTTAGTCAGCTCTTCTATGTACTGGGTGCAAACAGGCTTGAGGATGTGGAGACATGAGACCGCCATCTTTTGTGGTCAGCCAGCACAGTGAGCATTTGATCTCCTTGAAGTGTTTTTTGTGCAGTTTTCTGAGAAGCCTTTACTCGTCCCCACTGAACTGTTAAGGATGGCGCTTCGATCTCTGTTCCCTCCAATCATTTTCTTGTTCTGCCAGCTCAATGAATTTCTTCAACTCCACTCCTGCCAGTGGGTTTGGCAGAGGTGGAAGAGAGAGAGAAAAAAAAAAAAAAAACCACACACACACAGCAAAGCAGAAAAGAAAACAAACAAACAAACAAACAAATAAATAAAAAACTCCTTTTGGCAAGGGCTGTGGAAAACTTCACTTTTAGTTCTTCCTGAATGTGGAATCTGAAGTCTTTCTCAGACAAAAATTGTATTCATGTTCACGGCAAAGAAAAAAAAAGTAGAAAAATGACAGAAGTGAGATGAGAGAAAACCGGCTGTGTATATTCACGCTGGTGTCAAAGCGGCGCCAGATGCCCTTTAAGGAAAGCACTTCCTCCTAGCTGCCCTAGTGAGCTGGAGGCTCCTTCTTTGTCTCCGCTGGATTCTTTACCCAGAGGCCTCAACTCCACCCTGAACAGAAAACTTCTGAACTCTAGATCCGCCCTTGCTACAAAGCAACCCAGCTCACATTTCAGAATGGAAACCCCTGCATTCGAGACAGGGTGACTCAGTTTCCATGGAGTGCTGAAAGAAGAAGTGAACCATTCTGTGGAGATCCAGTGCCTCAGGAATTTTTTTCAGTTATGATCGGACCCACTGCATGTCATGGGGAGGCTAAATGCCAAAGCATGCACTGTTCACCAAGTGAAAGCCTTTCCCCCAATCCCTGTATGACTGTAATTAAGCAGGAGAGTTAATTTTATGTAAA